TCGCTGGCTCACCTACCTGCTGACTGACCTTGGAGAGCCGCCTCGTTCTCCTCCAGTGCTGTACGTAGACAACAAGGCCATGCTGGCCTTGTGTCGAGAGCAGCGCTTGGAGCACAGAACGAAGCACATTGCTCTCCGCTACTTCCTTGCTCGTGAGCTGCAGCAGCGTGGTCAGTTGCGACTTGCGTACGTGGCCTCTGAGGCCAACACTGCTGATGTGTTCACCAAGGCACTCGCGCCTTGTGACCATCAGCGCTTTTGCACCCAGCTGGGTCTTGTGCCTGTCTTGCCTCACTTGCTCTCCTCTTGACTTCACTTGTACTGTGACATATATATATACCTGCTCTTGCTTGTCTAGTTTTATATATATGTCTGTACTCCTGCATGTGAACTGGCCTCTGGCCCTGCTCTTGTGCTCGGACTGTGTGGTGACTTTGTGATCCACCCTGAGCTTGCTTTGCTTTGCTTGACTGGTCTTGTGACCCCTTGTTCTCCCCACTTTGCCTATGGGGGTGTGTCAAACATCATATATGTTATGCTTGTGTAGGCTACAGTGGGTTAGCCTATAGGGGGTACACAATTCTAGGGTTTCCTACTTGTACTCATTTCACTGCTAGTTCATTCATTCCTGTTCGCTTATTCTCACGAATTTTGCACGAGCAGCACGTCAAATCTGTGTCAGAATTCGAGTCTGACACAAGTAAAGTGTTAGAATTCGAGTCTGACACAAAAAACGTGTCAGAATTCAAATTTGTGCCAGTAAAAATTGATGCACAATAGCATTAACAATTACTGTGTACAGAAAAGGGGGGGTCTTACGATGATTAGAGGCAAAGGAGGGGTCTTCACAAAATCTGCCACAATATGAGCCCCCCTACCTATTCAAGAGTCCGGGGGACCTTCTTACCGGCGGGTCTTTTAGCCAGAACTACACGGTACTGTATGTGATCGTGGACCACCAGGTCGACGACTACCCGCCTGCTTCACGAAGTCAGCGTCGCAAGGCTGCCCCCCCCCCAAGTCGAAGAGTCCATTCGTCGACCACTAGGCTGAAGTCGGCCGTCGGCTTCCCGTCATTGGCGGCTTCGCACTGGCCCTGCTTAGGTCGACCAAGTCCGTCGACCTGCTCGACTAAGTAGGCGTCGGCTACTATAGATGTTGAAATAGTAGGCATGGCTTAGGACTAGGTAACTAGGGTTTGGCCTAGGCAAAGGAGAAGTCCAAGCAAAGGAGTGGTTGCACTATGAAAAGAGAGGTACAAATAGAAGAGAACCAGCAAGGAGTGGTGCACCACCACATAGAACACTAGGTAACTACTCTACAGCTAGGACTACATGCACTTATACAGACATATAAGATATATTCTGACACACCCCTAAGTGCATGCAAAAATATCCATTGAGCAGAATACCCGTGAAGTGGTACACCCTGTAGGGCGCAGCAAACGTAGAGGCGAAGTGAGGAGGAGGAGAAAGAACAGTGAGGAGAGTGGAGATAGAAGGCGACGGGTGAAGCCGCAGTCCCACGGGCAACAGGAGCGGCGCACACAGTGGCTACCGAGCGCACGAGGGCACCGGACTACGGCAGTATCTGACTCCGCGGCTACGACGAGCGGCAGGAGTAACGGACCCACAGGCGACTGGCGAAGCAGGTTCGCTGGGCTACGGAGAGCACGAGGGCTCCGGACTACTGGCGCTGCTGACGACACGATGGCGACCTCCGCTCAACCTCCCCTAACTGTCCCACACCCCCATCTCACACACCCCGTGCTGCACCCCTAGATCCAATACCACGGCACCCCTTAGCGCCACTCCCCTCGACTCCCACACATCCACCCCCCTCAGCGGCAGCTACAGCAGTGGGAGACGGAGGAGGAGAAGGAAGGGGTGACGCACACGTATCACCCCACACCCGCCACCCCCACACCCTCCTGTCCAGGGGACCGGGGGGGGGGGGGGGAGGGTAGAGCAGGACAGAGCGCGCGAGGGCGCGGGTAGAGCAGAGCGCACGAGGGTGCAGGTGAGACAGGGCGGCTGCTCCAGGGGCCAGGGGTGGCTGCTCCAGGGGCCAGGGGGGGGGGGGGGGGGGGGGGGGGGGGGGGGGGGGGGGGGGAGTGCGCGGGTCCCTGGGGGCGCCAAGACGGGTGACGGGGCGACGTGCGGGTCCCCGGGGGCGGCGCGACGCGGGGGGACGGGGGGGACTCCGCGGGTCCCCCCACGCGCACGGGCGACGGGGGGCGATGCGCGGGTCCCCGGGGGCGTCGCGACGAACGACGGGGGGGACGCGCGGGTCCCCGGGGGCGTCGCAACGAACGACGGGGGGGGGGGGACGCGCGGGTACCTGGGCGCGCCACGACGGGCGACGGGGGGGGGGGGGGGGGCAACGCGCGGGTCCCCTGGGGCGCCGCGACGGGGCAGGAAACTGCCACGCGCCCCGAGCTCGTGGCGGGCAGAAAACCGCCACGCACCCCGAGCACGTGGCGGGAAGAAAAAAACCGTCGCGCGCCACGGGGGTGCGCAACATAGAACAGCAGCAGCGGAAGCTTAGGGTGGGGCCCACAGGCTAGGATCGAACGAGCTCTTAATTCCATGTTGAAATAGTAGGCATGGCTTAGGACTAGGTAACTAGGGTTTGGCCTAGGCAAAGGAGAAGTCCAAGCAAAGGAGTGGTTGCTTTATGAAAAGAGAGGTACAAATAGAAGAGAACCAGCAAGGAGTGGTGCACCACCACACAGAACACTAGGTAGCTACTCTACAGCCAGGACTACATGCACTTATACAGACATATATATAAGATATATTATGACAACAGACTGTCGGTTGCACCTCCCGCGCACCCGACCATGAAGTCGGCTTCGCCCAAGCAAGGACGGGGTGTGAGAGTACGATAGCTTATGCTCGCTTTGCTAGCTTGCCTGGACTTTATTGTGCTATTACTAACATGGGTTCTATTTATCATGCATAGATATGTTTGATTTCCTAGGTTAGATGCATTCCTATATTTTATTATAGTCATAGCACCGAACCAGGTCACGTATACCGAACTCAAGCCTATTCGGTTTTCCACCAAATTGCTTTCTTCCAATTTTGGGAAGGTTCTGTTCGAGACACTTCGCGACCCTCGGAACATTCGCGTAACACCTGTGTTACCAACATTGTGTCGAGCCTATTTATAGCTTTGTGTTGTACTGAGGTGATCATTCACTTCAAACCCTCTTCTCTGAGCTCGATCCTAGATTCTCACACTTGGTAATCAGAGCCTGTTTACACGCTAAGTTTTCGACCACTAAAACCTAGCCTTTAAAACCGCGGGGCCGATGACAGAAAGCGCCGATTTCGGGTATGTATACCAGTTCCGCGTTTTTTTTTTAACGTCCCCCTCGAACCGGTTTCCAAACACTCCTCAGGATTATTGGCGAAAAAGTTGGAATTTCGATCTTCGGATCGATTCGAATCTCAAGGGCCCTGATAATCTCGTCCAAAAAACATAGAATTTGGAGCGTCGGATCGAATTTATTCTTAATGGTCGAGATCGGACGCGAATTTCGACTAAGGGATATTCCCGCAACGTACAGAATCAGCGCTCAGCCTTTCTACAGTCGATTGGACTTCTAGTAAGTCGACCAACGCCTAGAATTCATTTGTTTTCGTCGCACATCTTCCTGTAAATCGCCAAATGGAGGAGAATGGTGATAATTCAGTACAAAAAAATACAGAGTTACGCACTAACCTGGACCTGATTTTTCTGTATGAAAATTTGAGGCGTCACTCGCGAACCAGTCGGAAGCTGCCACGGCAGCAGCGAATACAGCAACGACAGCAGCAGTAGTAGCGGTGACCCCGACATTTCACCCAGCAGCAGCGGCAGCAGCTACAGTGAATATTGAGGCGGCACGTCCAAGGCTATCAGAGACGTTCAATCCGAATGCGAGAGATACCGACGTCCGTCGATTCATGGCGACCCTTGAAATTTACTTCGAGGCCGTTGGTTGTACGACCCCGACATACGATGTAATGCGGATTCTGTCAAACATTTATGCTGCTTATTGTGTAGGCTGTAGTGGGGTAGCCCATATGGGGTACAACCCAAATTAGGTTTTGCTACTTGTATCCATTCTGCTGCTAGTTCATTCATTCATGTTCATTATTCTAACATGGTTTCAGAGGATGTCCTAGCCTAGGACCGATTTCTTAGGGCCCACCGAGTAGCACTACCCCACCCGTCGCGCCACTGTAATCGCGTCGCCCTGCCCTGCTCTGCCCTGCGCTGCCCGCCGCAGCACGCACTGCTTTGCCCGCACGCCGCCTGCAGCAGCGCACCCTACTGAAACGCGCACCGCCCGCGCCCGAGCGCCCTGCCCTGCCCGCGCGCCGCGCTGCCGCGCGCCCTGCTCTGCTCGCGCGCTGCGCCGCGCGCCTCTGCCCTGCCCGCGCACTGCGCTGCCGCGCGCACCCGCCCTGCCCGCGCGCTGCGCTGCCATGCGCACCTGCTCTGCCCACGCAACGTGCCGCGCGCGTGCCTCTGCCCTGCCCGCGTGACGCGCCGCGCGTGCAGCCTGCCCGCGCGCTGCGCCGCCGCGCGCCCTGCCCTGCCCGCGCGCCGCGCTGCCGCATGCTTTGCCCTGCCCGTGAGCCGCGCCGCCGCGTGCTCTGCCCTGCCCGCGCGTCGCGCCTTGCGCCCTACCTGAGCGCCGCGCCCTGCCCTGCTGCGTGCCCTGCCCTGCCGTGCGCCCTGCCCTGTGCCGCGCGCCCTGCCCTGCCTCCCTGCCCTGCCGCCCTGCCCTGCCCCGCGCCTCTGCCCTGCCGCGCGCCCTGCCTTGCCGTGCGCCTTGCCCTGCCGTGCGCCCTGCCCTGTGCGGCGCGCCCTGCCCTGTGCTGCGCGCCCTGCCCTGCCGCCCTTCCCTGCCGCGCGCCTCTGCCTTGCCGCGCGCCCTGCCCTGCCCTGCCGTGCGTGCCTTGCCCTACCACTCGCTGCTAGCGCGCCCGACTGCTCTGCTCGCTATGGCCGCTCTCAACATTCTCACCTTCGATTTGGAGGGCCGCCCGATAGAGTTCAATGCGTGGCTAGACAACTTACACCTGTTCCGGCTGATAGTCTCTAAGGACGGTACTTCGCTATTTGACCTCACTTCTGGCACCTCGCCCGCCCCTGACGCCACAGGTGACAGTCCGACTCGCTCACAGTGGCTTACCTGTGACGCTGCTGCCCGCCTAGCCGTTCGCAACCACCTGCCGTTAGCCGAACGCGCCCACTTTGGCCAGCATAAGACAGCTAAAGCACTGTACGATGCTGTAGTCCCTCGCTACTCCTCCCCGGCCACTGCTGCTCTAAGCCACCTTCTCCTGCCCTACCTGTTCCCAGAGCTGTCTGCCTTTGCCACAGCAGCCAACCTAGTCACTCACCTCCACACTAGTGACACTCGCTACCATGTTGCGCTTCCCGCCGAGTCTCTTGCAAAGAACCCTCCCCCTGTGTACATCACACTCTACTTCATAGTCACCCACCTTCCTGACTCTCTTACCATAGTCAGGGACCTCCTTCTCGCCCTTGACCCCACCGACCTCACTATCGACCTGCTCGAGAAGCACGTCCTAGCAGCTTAGACTAGCATAGTTGCCGTAGGCGCTTCTCGTGGCACTCCTCGCACTCCCTTTTTTGAGGGGTGTTTGCCCTCCCCCCTTCTCCCCTCAGTCGCCTCTGCTGCAGCTGTTGACTACTTGCCCCTTTGAGGAGGTATGAGCTGCGACTGCCCTAGTGGGAGGCGCCGCAGCGGCAGGGGCAGGGGAGGCAGCAGTGGGGGTAGTAGAGGTGGAGGCGGTGGTGGGGGCAGTGGAGGAGGTGGAGGGGGCGGCGGTGGAGGAGGTAGTGGTGGTGGGGGTGGAGGGGCAGGTGGCGGGGGTGGTGGCGGCAGTGGGAGTGGTGGAGGCGGCGGTGGTGGCGGCGGTGGTGGCGGCAGTGGGAGTGGAGGCGGCGGCAATGGTGGTGGCCGGGGTTGGTACCAGCCAAAGGGGAGGCCTTGGAGGTGGCCAGAGGCAGCAGCAGCATCAACCCCTTTCGTCTCAGAAGCTCCGTGAGTGGTTTGCTCAGCGTGGGGCGGCTGGGAGCAGTGGTCCCTGCGCGTATGTCATTCGCACAGGTGATCGCACTGGTCAGACATGCAGGAGGTCTCACACTCAGCACCGCTGCTTCTACCACCTTACTGACGCCTTTCGCGCAGAGTTTCCTAATGCACTTGAGCTCCCCAACTGGGCAGAGCTGCTTAGGCAGAATGTTGATATCTTTGCTCTAGACTTTGATGCTATCCTATCTGCCATGTATGCATTGACTGTTAGTGCTGAGGGTGACTGTTACCTATGTATGCCGCCAGACCCAGGTATAGAGGCTGCTGCTCTAGGTGCTATTGAGTATGCTGCCCTAGATGCATGTGAGTCTGCTCTCTCTGGTACTGCGTCTGCTGCGGGCCCGCACACCTTTACGCTTGACTCAGGTGCTTCCCGCTGTTTCTATCGTGACAGTACCACAGTGACCCCGCTCTCTGCACCTGTTCTGTCTCTTTGGCTGACCCCTCTGGGGGCCCAATCCTTGCACGTTCCTCCACTGTTCTGTCCTGACTGGCGGTTCCGTCTGGGTCACTGTCGGGTCTCCACCTCCCTCGTTCTCTACGAACTTGGTGAGCAATGTAATCCTCCAGGATGCGGGGGTTGACACCTTCACCCTAGACGGCAGCGTGTGTGGCGATCTGTACGTGCTCCCGGACCGGTCGCCACCTGGCCACGTTCACCTGTCGGCCTGGGTCGAGTCTGTACACACTAACTACTGCGCCTCCTCAGGTAGCCTCATCAGGTCAGCTTGCTGCCCCTTGCTGGTGTCGCGCCCTGTCGCGCCAGACGCTCCCTTGGCACCACCGTCTTGGTCACCCCTCTATGGCACGCCTTCGTGGCATGCACTCCCGTCTCCTTGTCTCTGGTCTTCCCAGGCCTCTGCCTCCCCTCCTCCCTCCCTTCCAGTCCTGCGTCTGCACTCTGACAGAGGTGGTGAGTTTTCCTCCGACCTCTTGCGGGTCTTTTGTCGTGCGGAGGGCATTCCCCAAACGTTCACACTTCTGGCCTCTACGCACCAGAATGGGGTTGCTGAGCACCGCATTGGCTTAGTCATGGAGGTCGCTCGTACCTCCATGATCCATGAGGCTGCCCCCCATTTTCTGTGGCCGTTTGCCGTCCAGTACGCTGCGCATCAGCTCAACCTCTGGCCCCTGTCTCCTTGCCGGAGACCTCGCCCACAGTGCGTTGGACGGGGGAGGTTGGCGATGCGTCGGTGTTCCGGGTCTTGGGATGTCGTGCTTTTGTCCGCGATACGTCCGCGGACAAGCTCTCCTCCCGTGCCGTTCCGTGCGTCTTCCTTGGCTTTCCCCATGATGCGCCTGGCTAGCAGTTTTACCACACCCACCTCGCGCCGTGTCCTGTCCTCTCAGGACGTCACGTTTGACGAGTCGGTTCCCATTTACTGTCTCTTCCCCTACCGCACTGCTCCTCTCCCTCCCCCGCCGCTCTTCCTTGCACCAGGTCCTCCTCGGTAGACCCCCTTCCCCCTCAGGGTCCTGCTCCCTCAGGTGTGCCCCAGGTAGACCCTCTCGAGCCTGTCAAGGTCGCTGTCGACTCTGGTGATGCTAGAGGTGTTGCGTCTGGGGTGCTGAGCCTGCGGGTGCGGGACCTGAGGGGTCTCTGGGCGTGAGTGTGCGGAGCCTGGGGGTGCTGAGCCTGAGCGTGCGGAGCCTGGGGGTGAGGAACTTGGGGTGCTGAGCTTGAGCGTGCGGAGCTTGGGGGTGATGAGCCTGGGGTTGCTGAGTCTAAGGGTGTAGAGCCTGGGGGTGCTGAGCCTGCGGGTGCGGAGCCTGGGGGTGCTGAGCCTGGAGGCCCTTCGGGTGTCTTGTCATGGCCGGAGTCTCTCTCTCCACTGTAGCTGCGCGAGTGGTTTGCTCAGCGCTGGAGCCTCCGGAGTGGTGCTGCTGGAGCTGGAGCTGCTGGAGGTGCTGGAGCCGCTAGTCCCGGAGGTGCTCGTATTGGAGGTACTGGAGCTGCTGGGGCTGGAGGTACTGCTGGAGCTGCTGGAGGTGCTGGTGCTACTAGAGCTGGAACTGCTGGAGGTGCTGCTGGAGGTGCTGGAGCTACTAGGGCTGGAGGTGCTGCTGGAGCTAGAGCTGCTCGAGGTGCTGCTAGAGCTGGAGCTGCTGGAGGTGGTTCTAGAGCTAGAGCTGGAGTTCTTAGAGGTACTGGTGCTGTCGGTGCTGGTGCTGGAGGTGCTGTGTGGCCGCGACCGTACTTCGTTCCACTCCTTCAGCAGGTTCTTGGTCTCCGCCTTCTGCTGACCTTGCTCCTCCCTTCTTGTGTCCACCGCTTGACCAATCCCAGCCACAGCTATTGCCAGCCTCTCCGCTGCCTACTCCTTCTCCTTAGATTGAGCAGCCCGGAGGTCTTACTAAGCATCACAAGCCTGCGTCTCCTCTACGTTGCCTGTTCGCGCTAGTCACACTGGTCATCGTGTTCCGCGTCCGCGTCCTCCTCCTATCCCTGGCACGCACCAGATGGCACTTCGTCCTTCCTTTGTTCCACTGCGTGTCTCTTGCCGTCTCCTCCTGCGTCCTCCATTGCTGACGGTCCGAACCCTGAGTCCGACTCCCTTCATGCTGCTAGTCGTACTATCACGCGTCTCCTGGCCACTGTTGTCACTAACCCTTCCTTTGAGTCCACTGCTGCGTCTGCCTTAGTTGCTGAGCTTGTCAACTTTGCTCCTCGCTGTCGCCTAGACTACGCCGCTAGCCTTGTTGCTGAGTAAGAGTCTGTCTGTCCTCCATCCGTCGGGGGTGGGTGTGCTCTTGGCACAGAAGTCCTTGAGGACAGGCAGGAGGACTTGAGTGCTTTGCAGCTGCTGGACCTCATCTCGTGTCCATGCTGATTCCACCTGAGGGAGACGCGGATGCAGCAGACATCCCGACCCCGCGCTCTTACACAAAGGCGATAGAGGGTCCCTACTCCTCTCCGTGGCTGTCAGCCATAGACGCAGAGATGGCATTGTGGAAGTCCACAAGCACTTACGTCGACAAGGTTCCCCCACCTGGGACGAACATCGTCAGTGGCATGTGGATTTTCGGGGTGAAGCGGCCGCTGGATTCTCCGCCTGTCTCAAGACGCGTTACGTTGCACGAGGCTTCAGTCAGCGACAGGGAGTCGACTTCTTCCATAACTTTTCCCCTACCCGAAGATGACCACTCTTCGGGTGCTGCTGCATGTCGCCGCTCGGCGTTACTACGAGCTTCACTCTCTTGACTTCAGCACTGCTTGCCAACAGGGTAGCCTGCACGAGGAGATCTGACTGCGCCGCCCACCTGGGATTCACTGGGTCGTTCCCTCGTGGTACCAGTGGAGCCTCCGGTGGCCAGTCTACGGTCTCCGCTAGGCGCGTCGCGACGGGCACGACTGTGAGGATCTGGGATCGAGCTCACAAAAGATGATTCAAATTGAATTGAATTGAATGTCCACCTTGGTACAACACGAGGCTATATATAAGCTCGACACAAGGCCCCGTAACCAGGTGTTACGCGAAGGTTCCGCGGGTCGCGAAGCGTCCGAACAGATCCTTACCGAATTCGGTAGAAGGCAATTCGGTGGCAACCGAAAAGCCTGAATTCGGTGCACGCAACCTAGCTCGGTGCTATAACTATAATAAAATATAGGAAAGCACCTAGCCTAGGAAATCAAGCAATTCATGCATGCATATGATTATCCTATGCTAGAAATAGCATGATAAAGTAGAGGCAAGCAAGCATAGCTGGCATAAGCCGTCGTACTCTCACACGTCCCCCCCTCAAAGCTGGGTGGCGTGAGATACACCCTGCTTGACAAGATAGTCCTTGAGAGCACGGCGTGGTTTGCCCATATCAGCTTCTGCAACCCAACTGTCCTCAGTGGGGTTGTATCCCTTCCAGCGTATCAAGAACTCGAGAGTCTTGCCACCGCGCGCCGATGAGAGAGAATGCGCTCGATCTCGTACTGGTTTCATCCTGTATGAGAACAGGTGGTGGTGGCGGTAGTTGCCGTCCCTGGAACTGTTGGTTGGGGTCCTTGTAGGGCTTCAGTTCTGGACATGGAAAGCGTGTGGAAGCTCCATGTATCTGGTAAGCGCAAG